TTATTTAACCGGACTACTTGATATTTTCTTAATTTTGCCAAGTTTAGCAAATAAAAACACATCCCACTCAATAATGTGTAAATTTCAGGGGTTCCTGAGTGGCTCAGTCAGTTAAGCGTCTGCCTTCGGTTCAGGTCATGATCCCATGGTCCTGGGATGGAGCCTGGCATTGTAGTCCAGCTCCCTGCTCAACAGGGGAGTCTGCTTCTCCCTCTGCCCCTCCCCTAGCTTGTGCTATCTTTCTCTCTCACTCACTCTCTCTCTCAAATAAATAAAACCTTTTAAAAAATGTGAATTTCAGATAAACAACCAGTACTTTTAAAGTATAAGAAGGTTTCCAGTATTGCATGGGATGGATATACACTAAAAATGTATTTCATGGTTTATGTGAAATTCAAATTCAACTGAGCATCCTGTATTTTATTTTTAAAGATTTTATTTATTTATTCATGAGAGACAGACAGAGGCAGACACAGAGGGAGACAGGGAGCTTGATGCAGGACTCGATCCCAGGGCCCTGGGATCATAACCTGAACTGAAGGCAGATACTTAACCGTCTGAGCCACCCAGGCACCCTGGGCATCCCGTATTTTAATCGGCCAACCCTCTTAGTATGCTGAGATGCACTCACTCCTGCAAAAGTTCAGCTGTTGGGCCAGCAGTCAGATGGAGCCCGAGCAACCTCACTTACCTCCTGCTAGGTTAGAGCAGGGTCTGTGTGGAAGTACAGTCCCTTTGAAAGGCGAGACAGCAAATCCAAACAAAACAGTGCCCCTTCTGTTAGTAAGGAAGGTCAGGACTGCCAGTAAAGGCAGGTCGAGGATTCTTTTTATTTGGTCAAGTTTCACAACCAGAGGTGGAAGGAATGTAGAGGCTTAGAGATGTGTTCCTGGCTATGAGGTGAGGGATCTTTAAGAAACAAAAGAACCATTAGATGCCAGTTAAAATATTGGCCATGGGCCAGAACATCATGACTTTTCAGTGTTAGGGCAGTGGTGAATGGGGAGCTGGGAGAAGTACAGTGGGGATCAGAAGGGAGAAGGTCCAGAGAAGACGGGTGCCAGACAGAGGTGCTGGGACATGTTGCTCCGGGCTGTGGAAGAAACTGGAGATGAAGCTGTTCTGCAGTGGGAGCTGTGGCCAGCATCTCCAGGGAGCTGGGATCTCCACCAAGGCCTGTCACAGATGGGAGGGACAGTCATCTGAGCCAGAGGTAGGGCCCCAGCACTGGATTGATGGATGTTCTCTACAGATGAGGTTTCACACACAGGCATTGAGGCACAGACAGACATGGTCCTCAACCCTCAGATAGCAGACTGTTACCCCACCACTCAGCTGGAGCTGGAGTTTCTTTTCTTTTTCTTAATATTTAAAAATTTTTATTTATTTATTTGAGAGAGAGCGAGAGATAGCATGAGTGGGAAGAAGGGAGAGAAGCAGACTCCCCGCTGAGCAAGGACCCCCCCCCCCCAATGCTGGAGTTGATCACAGGACCCCAGGATCATAACCTGAGCCAAAGGCAGATGACTGAGCCATCCAGGTGCCCTCACTGGAGTTTCAATAAATCCTGTAATCTATTGTCTTGTGAATTTCACAGTGATATTGAACTGTAGGTTTATTTGGCCATTAAATGTGTCTGCTTGCTGAATGTCAACATTTATGATAAGCTCCACTTTGGGAGATATTTTCAAAACCTGAAAGTGGCCCAGACCCACCCTGACTTCCAGAAAGGCCTACCATCTAGGAGACAGCCCTTGAGAACCCGGTGCTCCTAGCTTTCCCACCTCAGCTGTTGAAAAACAGGCAAGAAGTCAAGACCCCAAATAAAGTCCAATATATGTTCATGGTCAGCTGGGTCTGCCTGGAATGGTCAGAGGCCCTCCCCGTTGACTCCCCCAAATCTCTGTGCTTCTGAAGGCTGACATTATGTTCTTAGGCAAGGGAGCAAGTCTCAAGGTGAATCGGGGTAATGAGGAGGAAGTGGAAGACCCGGAAATTGGCACCCAACTGGGGTAGAAAAGTTTCAGGAAAAAAAGGAGGTTGAACCCAGAACACTGATTCTGAGTCTGTGCAAGTCGCCCCACGTCATGCAGTGCAGTAGGGAGTACAGATTCTGGGGCACCACCGTAGGGGTCAATCCAGGCTCTGTCACATTCTAGCTGTGTGACTTAAAGCAAGTTACCCGACCTCTCTGTGGCTGTTTTCTCATCAGTGAAATGAGGATAATATAATATCTCCTTTACAGTTTTGTTATAAGGAATGAAATAATAAATATATTGCAAAACACTTATGACATAGCCTGGCAGAAGATAAGCATCATTTTATCTTTTTTTTTTTTAAGATTTTATTTATTTATGTGACAGACAGAGATTACAAGTAGGCAGAGAGGCAAGCAGAGAGAGGAAGGGAAGCAGGCTCCCCGCTGAGCAGAGAGCCCAACAGGGCTCAATCCCAGGACTCTGAGATCATGACCTGAGCCGAAGGCAGAGGCTTTAACCCACTGAGCCACCCAGGCACCCCAGCATTATTTTAGTTATTAAAATTTGGCCCCCACTGTTTACCTTAGCTGTTTGCTCAGGTACTCCAGTATAAGGCCACCAACTGGATCTTACCCAATTTAGGAAGATTTAGGGGAGTTAGTTTTTTTTTTAACAGGCTCACTCTCCAGTAACAAACAACATTCCCACAGGATTGATTAATTGATTTAAAGATTTTATTTATTTGAGAGAGAAAGCGTGCGCACGAGCAGGGGGGAGGGGCAGAGGGGGCCGGAGAAGGAGGCTCCCAGCTGAGCAAGGAACCTGGCGCAGGACTCAGGACTCGATTCCAGGATCCTGGGATTATGACCTGAGCTGAAGGCAGACACTTAACCACACTGAACCAGCCAGGCGACAAGCCCCTACAATCTATTTATTATCTCTACAAAACTGGCAAAATACCTCCTGAGACATTTGCATTACAACAGATCAAGAAAGACTGGGGTTCAGGAATACACCACTAGGGAATTTTAGGCTTCCCTTGTTGTAGCCTCCAGAGACACCACGGGTGCTGGAGGGATGGCTGGGGTCCCAGTAGCTTAGGAGACAGAATTAGGATTCCATGTGGCTGAGTTAGACTGGAATTTTTGCAGAGGGGAGAGCTGTGCCACACCTACAGTTGTGGTTCTCAGAGTGGGATCCCTGGGCCAGCGCCAGTAGTGTCACCTGGGAACCTGAAAGAAATGCAAATCCTCGGTGCCCACCCAACACCTATTTAATTTGAAATTCTAGGGATGGAGACCAGCAATATCCTCTTGGTAATTCTAATGGTTGCTAAGGTTTGAAAACCTCTCCGGTCTTTGGGAAAAGTAAAGCCAAGGTTCAAATAACCGAGGTGAAGTCAGAGCCAAGAGATTGGAGGAGGGTGGGATGGAATCTGAGCCAAATCAGAGAATGGAGGTTCTGGGAACTGACTGGGAACACCCGTGGCTATTTCCAGCTGGCCTTTATCTCCTGCAGGTGCAGCCTGGGGATGGGTTGGGCTAACTTAAAGGGCCAGAAGAGAAGTGGGGAGGTAGAGAAGGCACTGCAGGTGTTTTTGTGGGTCATTCAGATGGTTTTGGAGTGACAGGTTGTGGTCTCTCACCTTTTCTGCGTTCAAAGGGATTAGGTCTTTTCTGAGAGAATGGGCCTGCCTTGAAAATAATATTATAGAACCAGAATTTTGCCATCAAATAGGGCCTTGCGGGTCAGAGTCTAGGGATCTTCTCCAGTGCAGAAGTCAACTCTGGTGTATTCTGGATGTGAGGGCAGGGATCCCCCTCCAACACTACAACTCGATGGAATTATTTTATTTGTTGCAAAGCCTTTCCTTGGGATGGCCCCAGGCAACTCCCACCTTATAGGTAAGTGCTTATGCACATGAGTTGAAACACTGATGCCTTGTCTTGAACAGACATCTGATTCTTGCACTCAGCTCTCTGCTCCAGTTCTCATACACCTGCCTGGAGCTACACAGGACATGCGGTCTCCCTCTTTCATTTGGAGATGCCCATTACTCTTCCATAGTCTCTTCTCCAGGAGGAAATGTTTCCTTCTCTCCTTCCGAAGTTCCTAGCATGAAGTGGTTTTGGAGTCTCAAAAGACTACAAGGGAAATGACTAAGGAGTGGAGCTGCGAAAGGATGGTCCAGGCAACCAGACTGTGCATAAAAGGAGAGGGATTAGGTTGGGGTCTAGAAGAGAATGGGCAGAGGTCAGAGTAAATGTGGGGCTGATGAGGCAAAGTAATTTAGGTTGGAGCCCATGGGTGCGAGACCACTGGGGAGTTCTTTATCTGTGGGCCCTGTGTGTCTCCTGAAAGCCAAAAGGGTGTGGGTCGGAGTTGAGCAGGATCAGCTGGGGTCAGGTTGAAAGTACGGTCACTAAAACCCCCAGGTTCTTTGTCCATGGATTGCTGCCAAGCCAGGGCACAGCAATCCTGCGCTTCACAATTGGTATTTTGGACCTAACTCAGGGCTTTACCTAATCCTTATTAAATTTAATCTTGTTTATTCTAATCAGTTGAAACCATTTGAACCTGGCTTCTGGAATGTGTTATCTGTCTCTTTTCTCTTTCAACTTTGTGTCATGCACCGAATTTATAAACTGACTTTGATCTCTATTTCTAAAATGCTGACAAAAATATTGACCAGCAGCCCATTAGAGACAGCCTTGTGAGCTGAACCTGTATTAACCATCACCATTGGCCATGAGCTCTGCAACTAGCTATTTGTCCATTTATTCATTTGTTCGTGGGCAAAATCCTACTCAGTGATGGTGGTATCTTGTTCTGGATGTACTGGAAGGAAGTGTGTTAGAAACGTCCATGGCAGTGCCTGCAGTATCCACAGGCCCTTCCAAGGAAATTATCCTCCTTGAGGCAGCAGAAAGCGATAATATTTTATCCCATGAGGCCCCACTCCTCCTCCAGTGGTGTCTGATTGGACCTGGCTCAGAAACAACCAGTTCATGGGCAGCCCATGGTCTGTGTGAGTCTTGGAGTGAAGAGTGCTGCCCACACAGGGTGAGTTGGTTCAGTCAAAGACCGGTTCCTGGGGTTTGAATAAAGAATGGCAGAGATGTAGGTATTTAGCAGGAGGAGCTGAGGCTGACATACTGCCTAGAGAGACAATAAAAGTATTGACAGTTTAAAAATTATCAGAATAAGCAAACAGTGGGGACAATTAGAATTTACTTTGTCAATATCGTGAACTAGTATGATTTGGGAATGCTTTTGCTACAAAACACACTTTTAAACACATAACTGAGCTTATAAAAAAAGTAAAAGAAATCCACAGAGCCAAAACCGAAGAGCAAACTGAAATCCAGACTGGTAAGTATATGATCAAGGACCGTGGCAGCCTGGGGAGAAGGATGGCCTATTGTCAGACCTGGAAATGGCTCCAGGTTGGATCTGAACCTCAAAGAATGCAAAGCCTGGAGGCTGTATCACACAGAGGGCTACAGGTTTAGTAAAATAATGGATTAAGAGATGTCTACTCATTATTAGAGGGAGCCAATAAAGACATTTGTCTGCTTTGGCTTGGGTCTGGATGGGAAAAAGTACCCCATGAGAATTTGTAGTCACAGCCTGTACCCTGCCTGAATTTGGTTCTAATTTATACTATCTGGGTGGTCCAGGAATCCTCAAGTTAAGACATTGATGCTTAGTGGCCCAAGGCTGATAATACCTCTGGGGAGACTGGTATAAGTAAACACAAAATCCCACTGAAAGGATATACCCCAATCCCAAACTTTATAAGACTTCCACAGATGGAGGTCTGCTGAATATGGGCTCAAAATTAAAAACTCACAAGGAAACAATCCATCATGAACATGTGTCAGTGGACATGACTAAGAATTTTGGAAAATATAACTATTAGATACAAATTGTTGAAAATGTGTGCTTAAAATGATTAAAGACACAAGTAAAGTAATAAAAAATGCAAGAAGAAAAGAGATATAACAAAATATGACAAAAATATAGTAGGCATATGAAATGAAAAATATAATCACTGAAATTAAAACCTAATAATTACATGAAACAGCAAAATTATACAAAAGAATAAATACATTGAAAGCTAGAGATGAAAAAATCATACAGAATTCATTGCAAAGTGTGAAAAAGGTATAAAATATTAAAAAGATGTTAAGAGATGTGGAAGATAGACTAAAAATTTTCAATATATATTGAACAGAATTTCTAGGAAAAATAGAATGAAGGAGACTCAATGTTTAAGGGGGTCAATGACTGATAATTTTCCAGAGTTGTTGAGAGACATGAATCATAGATTCTTAAACCACATGAGCTCTAGACAGAATAAATTAAACTAACTCCACAATAAGATACATTATGGTAAAAATGCAGAACTTTGGAGACTAAAAGGAAGTATTTAAAAGCAACCAGCACAATCTACAAAAGAACAATTAGACTGTTACCAGATTTCACAATAGTAATATAGAAGCCTGCAAATCATGCAATGAAATTTCAGAATGCTGGTAAAAATTTCTATACCTGGCTCAACTATCATTTAGGAATGAGGGCAAAATAAAAATATTTTCAAAACAAAGACCGAGAAACACTAATACACTCTCATTGAAAGACTTTGATGTACCTCAAGAAGAGTAAAATCGAAAAGGAAGGAAGAAAGAATGTGCACAAGGAAAAAGTGATGGACAAAGACATTATTAAATTTGTACAAAAAATCTAAACAAGCATTGACGATATAAACAATAATAGTGATTCATTTGGGGGCACCTGGGTGGCTCAGTGGGTTGGGCTCTGCCTTTGGCTCAGGTCACGGTCTCAGGATCCTGGGATCGAGCCCCGCATCGGACTCTCTGCTCAGCAGGGAACCTGCTTCCTCCTCTCTCTCTGCCTGCCTTTCTGCCTACATGTGATCTCTGTCTGTCAAATAAATAAAATCTTTTTAAAAAAGTACTGATTCATTTGGAGGGTGTAATAAAGGGTAATTACTGGACACTTACATAAAAGGTAGGTAGAAATAACTGATGTTAAGATGCTAAAACCCTAATGTTATTTAGGAAGGGGGTAGAGGTTTCGAGGAAGGCAAATATACATGCCAAGGCAGACATGGAAATGTATAGCCTAACACTTCCTTCTGGAAAAGACTTGCTGCCCAGCTGCTAGGATAACTGAGAGCTTTCATCCTAGCCCTCTCAGGATCTACCTCAGCTATCAAGCCAGACTCATGCTACTCTCAGAGCAGCCTCTGGCCAATGACTGAGCAAAGTGATAGGAGCTAAGGTGGTGGAACAAGAGTGTGGCTGTTTCTGCCCGTTCTGGGTCTCCCCAGCTCCATGTTGGCCTGGTAGAGATTAGTTGAACCTACTTGACAATCCGAAGACTCCTCTTTGCCCAGTTCTGTTTCTTGTTCTTCTTTTTCACTGTGCTACTTCCCCCACGTCCTGTTGTGTATCTAATTCCATCTCTGCATTTCCTGGAGAACCCAAGCTTGTGACACATTACAAATTTTAGAGAACCACTCAAAAAGTAGAAATATGCAATACTCTAACAGTAGAGAGGAAGAACATTAAATAGATATGGAGAAAAAAAAATTAGTGAACTAGAAACAATTAACATGGTAGAGAGAAATCTAAATTTATCAGTAATCATATTAACTATAATTGGATTTGCTTGCCAATTAAAAAACAGTTTGTTTTAAGGGGAGAACAGCAAAATCCACTGATATTTTCATAATAAGCACACCTAAAATATTAGTCTGCAGGAAAAGTTGAATGTAAAGGATAATACCACCTAAGGAGGGATGGTGGAGCTAGATTGATGACTGACAAAACGGGACTGAAGGCAAAAAGAAAGATGATCAAGGTGAAGATACATAACAGTAAGGTGCCAGTCCTTGGGAAAATAGCAGTTCTGAACATGTACACACCAATAATCTAGCCTCAAAATATATAAAGAAAAATGGACTCACTTAAGAAAATTTTTATTTTATCATTGTAGTGGTAGCTTTTTACATATCTCTTTTGATAATAGATTAATCAGACCAAGAAATTAGTAACAGTATAGAATATTTGGATAATACAATTTTAAAGCTTGATCTCATGGACATATATAGAGATCTGTACCTAACAAAGAACACTTTCTTTTTTTTTTCTTTTTTTAAAGATTTCATTCATTTATTTGGGAGAGAGACAGTGAGAGAGAGCATGAAAGGGGAGAAGGTCAGAGGGAGAAGCGGACTCCCTGTGGAGCTGGGAGCCCAATGCGGGACTCGATCCTGGGACTCCAGGACCATGAATTGAGCATAAGGCAGTTGCTCAACCAACTGAGCCACCCAGGTGCCCCAAGAACACTTTCTTTTTGATCACACATAAAATCTTTACAAAAATTGATATGTACTTGTTTAGAAGACAAGGAAATCAGCCAGTATCTAGAGGAGGATCATGTATGCTCAGGGAGAAATAGGCATGTGAGGAGTAACTGAGTTTCATTATTGCACAAATCTTCAGAGGAGGACCATGAACTCTTGCTGGATTTTTTTTTTTTTTTTTTTAGATCTTATTTGTCTTACGTGACTCTTATAAACTTCCAATAACGCTTCAATACTTGATGTAGTCAGAATTAAGTTTCTGTTTCTTCCAGCTCTAAGAGACCAGCTACATCAGGATGTTCCAAAGGGAGTCAAGAACATCTTACAAGAGGGCTGAGAAGACATTGTCCCACCCATGAAAACCAAGTGAGAGAATGAATGCATGTTGGAACTTTTCAAGGAGAAAATCCAAATTCTGAGATATATTCCTCCAAACTCCATACTATGTTTTCCACTGCTAACTCACGGTCTGGGAGAGAGTCCTGGAGTCTATTTTATCCTTGAGCTTATAATCATATCACTTGTTTCTTTAGTTACTCTCAGTTGTGTCACTTTGCTCTTATCTCACAATCATGGATTTCTGCTCTTATCTCACAATCTTGGATTTCCAAACTAGGTATAGCCTTTCTTGACACAAAAACGGTGAACTGCTCTTTGATTTAGAAAAAGATCCATTTCTTTTGAACAGCTGTATGTTCCTCTTTTGCAGTCCTGCACATCTGGGTCCTACACCATTGTCTTCTTGACTTAAACTGCAGATTCCCTTCTTATGGCTTATATTCCATTCACAGACATGTGGGCATCTCAGGCCTTTAATTAGCCTATTTCTTCTTCTTTTTAAAAAAATTTTTAAATTTTAAAGTTTTTATTAACATATATATTATTAGTCCCAGAGGTACAGATCTGTGAATCGCCAGGTTTACACACTTCACTCACCATAGCACATACCCTCCCCAATGTCCAACACCCAATAGCCTATTTCTTCTGACGGTGTAGTAATTCAATTTACTTTTCCAGTCTTACCTTCCACAGGTGTACTTCCTCATCTGCATTATGTTTCCGTCCCATTCCTGATAGTACCTCATTGTTACTTCCACATTTTGTTTTTTTGTATGTGTGCTTTTTCCTGGGCCCCTCTCCCTACCCCTTCTTTACCCGTCAATTACAATAGTCATTTAATGGGAAAGACCATTCTAAGCATGATATAAAGTCCGGAAGACAGAAAAGGTTGAAAAACGCAGTTACGTATAGGCTAACACTTTCTAGCAGCCTACACTCCCACCCACCAAGATATAAACAGCAAACAGAGAAAGATATTTACATCATAAACAACAGACAAAGGCTAGTTTCCTCAATATATATAAAGATTCTATAAATCAAGAGACCAAGATGCAAGTTAAAGGAAATGCACGGAAGATTCATAGAAAAGGACATTTACGTAACTTTTTTTTTTTTTAAGATTTTATTTATTTATTCGCCAGAGAGAGAGAGAGAGAGGGAGCACAAACAGAGGAAATGACAGGCAGAGGGAGAGAAAGAAGCAGGCTCCTGTTGAGCAGAGAGCCCAACGTGGGACTGGGACCCAGGACCCTGGGACCACTACCCGAGCTGAAGGCAGAGGCTTAACCCTCTGAGCCACCCAGGTGCCCCCATTTACGTAACTTTTTAAATAATATGAGAAGATACTCAATGGCACTTGAGAAAAAAAACAAAAACAAAAACGCAAAGTCCATTGAGGACTTTTATTATTTCTCACGTGTGGACTGGCAAAGATCCAAAAGTTTGACTTTTGGTTTTAGAACAGGTATAAAGAAATCGGCCCTCTAATATAATGTCAGTGTGTGGGTGAGAGTATAAACTGGTATGAATTGTGTTCTGTGAAACACAATTGACAATATCTATCATAATAGCCCATACCTTTTGATTCAGCAATATTTCTTCGTGGGAACATATCCTGTAGAGATACTAGCTCACTCATGCAAAGGTGTATGTGCAAGAACGTGAATTGCAGCATTGTTTGTAAGGACAAAACATGAAACAACAAATGTATCAATTACCTACCACTTTGTAACAAACCATTCCAAACTCAGTGGCTTTCCATAATCATTAACTGTTGCTCTTTGGCCAAAGGATCAGCTGGGTAATTCTTTAGTGTCACCTGGGTTCTCTTGAACAACTGCGGTCAGCGGCAGGCTGCCTGCTGGGGTGCCAAGGATGACTGGGCCTCTGTCTCTCACCACCTAACAGGCTGGCCCAGTTTTGTTCATATGGTGACAGCTGGGTTCCAGAAGAATAAGTTCAAATGTGTATGGGCTGGCTCCCTGGTCTTTAAACTACCAGTGTCATTTCTGCTGTGGTCAGCTGGCCTAAGTGAGCCACAGAGCCAGCCCAGGATCAAGAGGTGGCGTAGGGGTGCCTGGGTGGCTCAGTGGGTTGAGCCTCTGCCTTTGGCTCAGGTCATGGTCTCGGGGTCCTGGGACTGAGCCCTGCATCCGGCTCTCTGCTCAGCGGGGAGCCTGCTTCCCCCTGTCTCTCTGCCTGTCTCTCTGCCTACTTGTGATCTCTCTCTGTCAAATAAATAAATAAATAAAAACCTTTAAAAAGAAGTTTTAAAAAAAGAGGCAGGGTAAAGACGATAACTCTGAATCTGAGAAACTGAAATCACATTGCCAAGGGGCCTGGATTGGAGGGAGGAATGAAGACTTATGGCTGTGTTCGCATCAAGAACAAACACAAACATCCATCAAATAGAGTCTAGTTAAAACAAACCAAAGAAATAGCCAGACAGTGAAATCTACACAATCTTTTGAAAGAATAAGGCAACTGTATGTATCGAGATAAGAAGTTCTTCCAGATTTACTATTAAATGAAAAAAGGAGAACTGCCTTTATAGTATTCTTTTCTTTTTTTTTTTTTTTTTGGTCAGACAGAGATCATGAGTAGGCAGAGAGGCAGGCAGAGAGAGAGGAGGAAGCAGGTTCCCTGCTGAGCAGAGAGCCCGATGCGGGACTCGATCCCAGGACCCTGGGATCACGACCCGAACCGAAGGCAGAGGCTTAACCCACTGAGCCACCCAGGTGCCCCAGTATTCTACTTTTTGTAGGTATTTCAAAATAGACATACACAGTTTTGTTTGTGACATGCATAGATCTGTGGAAGGATACAGGAGTGATGCCCTCAGGCGATGGTCATTTGGAGGTGGGGGTCACGGGTAGGAGGAAGTTACATTTCACCCTGTACACCTTCGTATTACATTCTTTTCCTTTAATTTTCAAAATTATTATCTTACAAAATTTGCTTACTTTTTTCCTTTTGGGGTACAGTACTATACTGTAAGCCCATATAAAATGTGTATAACCACCACTGTAAATAACATATAGAACAGTTGCAGAGCCCCCAAAAAACTCCTTTGTGCTATTCCATTACATTCCTGTCCTACTCCCACCCCTAACCCCTGGCAGCCACGGATTTGTTCTCGGTCACTACAGTTTTGTTTTTTCTACTTTGACCTTTGTTCTGCAAAATTAAAAAAAAGGCTTATTTAGGTTTTTTGGGGGGGGTGTTTAGAGCAGTTCACAGCAAAATCGAGTGGACGGTACAGAGATTTCTATATTCCTCTTGCCTCCACACATTCATGGCCTCCCCATTCTCAACATCCCCCGCCAGAGTAGAACATTTTGCTATTGATCAAACCACACAATGTGTCATGTCCATGGTTTACCTTATGGTTCATTCTTGGTGTTGTATGTTCTCTGAGTTTGGACAAATGTATAATGACATGTATCCATCTTTATTTTTATTTATTTATTTAAAGATTTTATTTATTTACTTGAGAGAGAGAGAGATCACGAGTAGGGGGAGGGGAGGGAGAAGCAGGCCTCCATTTGAGCAGGGAGCCCGATTCAGGGCTCAATCCCAGGATCCTGGGATCATGACCTGAGCTGAAGGCAGATGCTTAACCCACTGAGCCACCCAGGTGCTCTGTATCCACTTCTACAGTATCATACTGTATTTTCACTGTCCTAAAAACCCTCTGTGCTCTGCCTACGTGTCCCCCTACCCTCAACGCCTGGCAACCACTGATTTTTTTTTTATTGTTTCCATAGTTTTACCTTTTCTAGAATGTCAGAATGTCCCATACAGCTGGACTGATACGGTATGTAGCCTTTCTAGATTGGCTCCTTCCTCTTAGTAATAAGGTTCCACCTTATTTCTTTTTTTGTGCGAATATTTTTCCATTGTCTGTTTGTGCCACAGTTTATCCACTTTCCTACTAAGGAACATCTTGGTTGCTACCAAGTTCTGGCAATTATGAATAAGGATGCTATAAACATCTATACATGGGTTTTTGTGTGGACATCAATGTGCAGCTCCTTTGGGTAAATTCAAGGAGTGCGATTGCTGGATTGTGTGGTAAGAGTATGTTTAGTTTTATAGAAAACTGCCAAATTATCTTCCGAAGTAGCTGTACCAGTTTGCATTCCACCACTGGTATGTGAGAGTTCCTGTTCCACATCTCTGTCAGCGTTCCAGACTTTGGCCCTTCTAATAGTTGAATAGTGGTATCTCCTTGTTAATCTCATTGCTTTTAATTTGCATTTCTCCAATGACATATAACACGGAGCATCTTTCCAAATGCTTATTTGCCATCTGTATTTCTTCTTTGATGAGGTATCTCTTAAGGTCTTTGGCTCAATTTTCTTTCTTTCTTTCTTTTTTTTTGGTCAAAGATTTTATTTATTTATTTGAAAGAGAGAGAGAGAGAGCATGAGAAGAGGTAGGGTCAGAGGGAGAAGCAGACACCCTGCCAAGCAGGGAGCCTGATGCAGGACTTGATCCCGGAACTCCAGGATCATGACCTGAGCCTAAGGCAGTCACTTAACCAACTGAGCCACCCAGGCGCTCCTCTTTGGCTCAATTTTTAATTGGGTTGTTTATGTGTGTGTGTGTGGTTTTTTAAATTTTTTATTTTTTTATTGTTGTAAGTGTTCTTTGGAAATTTTACTTAAGAGTCCCTTATCAGATGTGCCTTTTGCAAATGTTTTCTGCCAGTCTGTGTCTTGTCTTCGCATACTTTCAACAGTGTCTTTTGCATAGCAAAAAATTTTAATGAGTCTAGTTTGTTAACTTTTATTTTATGAGTTGTGTTTTTGGTGTTGTTTCAAAAAGTCACCTCCACACCTAAAGGTGATCTAGATTTTCTTTCATATTGTTTTCTAGCTGTTTTTTTTTTTTTAAAGGTTATTTATTTATTTATTTGACAGAGAGAGAAATTACAAGTAGGCAGAAGTAGGCAGAGAGGCAGGCAGATAGAGAGGGAGAAGCAGGCTACCTGCTGAGAAGAGAGCCTGATATGGGGCTCGATCCCAGGACTCTGGGATCATGACCTGAGCCGAAGACAGAGGCTTAACCTACTGAGCCACCCAGGTGCCCCTTCTGGCTGTTTTATGGTTTTGTGTTTCATATTTAGATCTGGAATCTATTTTGAGCTAATTTTGTGAGGGGTAGAAGCTCTGTGTCTAGATTCTCTATCTCTTTCTTCCCCTTCACATGTGGATGTCTAGTTGTTCAGCACCATTTGTTGAAAAGACTATCTTTGCTCTATTGTATTGCCTTTGCTCTTTGTCAAAGATCAGTTGACTATATTTATGTGGGTCTATTTTTAGCTCTCCCTTCTATTCCATTGGTCTATTAATCTATTCTTCCACTGACCCTATACTGTCTTGATACTGTAGTTTAATAGTAAGTCTTGAAGTTGGGTAGAGTCCGTCCTCCAATTTTGTTCTTCTTCAATATTGTGTTGGCCATTCTGGGTCTTTTGCTTCTCCATTTCAACTTTATTTACTCATAAATATTTATTGGGATTTTTAAGTAAACTCCACCCTCAACATGGAGTGCTCACAACTCTGAGATCGAGAGTCACATGCTTTACTGACTGAGCCAGCCAGGTGACCCTAACTTGCTGGGATTTTGATTGGGATTACATTGACTCTGTAGGTCAAGTTCAAAAGAACTGGTATCTTGACAACACTCAGATTTCCCATCCATGAATATGGAGTATCTCTCCATTTATTTAGCTCTTCTTTGATTTTATTCAATAGAGTTTTGTAGTTTTCTTCATATAGATCTTGTATGTATTCTGTTAGATTTATAACTAAGTATTTA